GGAAATCACCAAAACCAAAAATTAATGAGAAATAAACCGCTGGGTGTGTTTGCTTGGTTAAAGAGATAAAGCAGACTGAATAAAAAGACATGCCATAAGCAGTGATGGTAGAGAGAAACTCAAAGCGTGTTTGAGAGCTGAAAATTAAAGTGGAAAAGGGAGAATTTGGCTTGCATCTTTCTTGGACAGTTAGTTAGAAAATCTAGAACATGGCTGAGAGGAAACCAGAAGAACTGAAAGCAAATTCATATGCTCAATGCATGAGTATGAGGGGGATTTAACCTGTCTCAAGATGAGGAATGCAAGACCCTAAAGCCAGGGATCTCATGGAAGAGAGGGAAGGACCGTCTTAATCTTAGAGATCTCAGAGATCTGAGAAGAGAGCAAAGAAAGAACTCAAAGTCCAGTACTTGAAGCAGAAGACCAGGAGATTTTTAGTTCAAGTAAACCAGCAGTTTGATCCTACTACCACCACCTAAGTTTTTGCTAGATGCTGCTGAACATCATCATACACCTTCTTGGGAGCCTGTGCTGTTCAGAGCTCGTCTTCTACACCTGCACTTACCTCACTTTGACCACGTAAGTCTAATTTACAAGCAACAACACGACAGAACTTATTTGTTAAATATTTTTCAACTGCCTTTGATGTAAAGAGCCAAAGATGATTTTTTTTTTTTGTCCCCCTCAGTAACAGTTCAGGAGAATCTCCTTGCTTGCACCAACATACTGTTCGTGGTGGCAAAAAAGCACGGACGCTGACGGGGCCTAAGCCCCAGCATAACTCCCAGATAGACCTGAGCCACGAGAAGAGCAAACCTGCTGTAGCTGTTGGACCCCAGAAGTTAGTTACACCATGGTTTAGAAACAAAAAAAGGATGTTTCAGTCTCAGGTTTTCAAAAGACATTGTGAGGTGTTACTGCATCGGTTGTATCCAGGACTTGTGGCAGTTTCGTAAATGTAGGATTGTATCAATCCTACATTGATAGGATGTTGTTCATCCTATCAAACAATAGTTTACTTCCTAATGGGAAGTGGTGCTTGATTTGTTTTCCTTTATTTGTCCTGACAAATGCAGGTTGCCGGGTTTCTGTCCCAGTGTCCCCAGGATAAGCTGTTTACAGGCATTAAACCGACTGCAGGTCTGCCTAGAAAGGTGTCAGTCACGACAGAAACAGCAAAACAGCAAAACATCAGCTCTTCCTGGGAGCAGGGAAGGTCTGTGATTATAGGATGCGACTTTCATGACTTTCATGTCCTGTAAGCACGCGCCAGCGCTGCCGCACGGCCGGGGGCTGCTGTGGCAGGTCTGCCTGGCTCCCCGTTCTGCTAACCGGGTCTGTCAAATGGGACCTGCTTTAGTACAAAACCGCTCGTCAATCTGCTCTCTGGGAACCTTGACTGTTCAGTCAGTCTTCTCAATACAGCTCGACAGCAAAAATGCCCGCCATTATTTTCACCTCTAAACAAACTAGTTCTAGGAAATACGGTCTTGCAATTCTTTTTTTCCCCGCAAAGGGCTATACCTTTTCCTGTCCCCCAGGAAACTTGCATTCGCAATCTGTTGTTAAGCTTTCACTGGTGTTACATGAATCTCAAGAGGTGTCAATCTATCTGAGATGTCAGACAAACTTTTTGTAGTGTTACAAAGCTGGAAAGAAGAGAGTAGCTGTCCAGCATCAATTACTAAATACTGGGCACAAACTGGGAGAATTTTCTTTCCAAATCCAAAAACAAATATTGTTTTTTTTCTACAATCACTGTCAGAAGTTTTTAAATACCCAATGAAAAGCTATTTCCTCCTTACACTCGGTTATTACTTTGTAACTGTAGAAAAAAAGAACTTCTAGTTTATTCCCTGCTGTCGTGGTGGTTGCGCTTAGGGTAAGTGTGACCATCTCCTTGCAACTTCTATACTTTGGACTTTCGGTTTTCTTCTTCAAGTCCCTGTCCCTTCAGGGTACAGAGCAAACAAGAAGTTTTTAACAAACAGACACTTAATGATTGAACCTTTGCAAACTTTTTCACTGGTGACCAGTTCTTTTAGGAAAGTCTTTTTCTTCTTCATAGCTCTGGCTTCGTTTCCTAGATGTCTGTGTGTCGGGACCCAGCTAGCACACATCCAGGGGGGAAAAACAAGAAAAATACGTTAAGGCTGATACAGAAATGCACCACGCAGCAGCACGTAAGGGCCGTGGGACGGGCCAGCACCTCGAGGAGACGCCTGCCACGCCAGGCCCGCAGCGAGGAGCAGCCCCACGGGCAGGAAGGGGGAGCCGCTCTGCCCCAGCAACCCTAACAAACAGTAAATTTAAAAAACGTTTAAACAAACAGGTAGAGCGAAACAAAGTATTTGCCGTTTTTCAGAAGCAGTGAATTCCGCCCGGTGTGAGAGCGGTGCAGGCCGGGGTGGCTGCACCCTGTGACCGCCGGGTCCCTCCGCGCTGCAGCGGGACAGACCCTCGCAGGCAGAAACGCTTCACACGAGAGCAACGGCATCCAAGAACAAAACCGAAGGGGAGGCTTTTCAGTTCAAACTAAATCTTTATTCATATGGAAAATACTATTTTGTTTTTCAAATTATGCTAATAAATAAAAATACCCAGAGAGAACTTTTGCTTAGAGTTAAGTGACTAGTTACAGCCACATGAAGCTTATAATTCCCATTAAAACCACGCCAACAATCATGCAGATTGGCTACAAGAAAGCAATATAAACTATATTTTATTTTGTGCAATCTTATTATACAATCTTAATGCTATCTTCTTCTAAACCATTTCACAAAGATTGAAATGCAATTTCAAAACAAATATTAAGGGACATATTTTACACTTATTTCACATATGGAGTTGTGTATAGTTAAGCCCATAAACGTAATTAAGCATTTAAAGAAGGTAAAAGAAAAGCGGACCCCATTCTGAAAATTCAGACAAACAGGCTATGAACACAGGAGAAAGCTCACACCAGTGAGCTCTCAAGACAAATACATTACCAAAGCATAACAATAAATTATATTAAATTTAACAACGTTCATCCTTAAAACGGTTCTTTCTGAGGAAATAGCACTTAAAAAGCACACCCAAACTCACACCGCTAAGAGTCAGACCTCAAGTATTTGTCTCCCAATTTCCCACTTGGATGTCATTTTGCTTTATAATAGGCTTCAGCTTTGTAAGCGTATTCTTTATCATAAATTTAAAAACAAATTGAAAAATTCTGCAGTGAGCTGTGCATGAAATACATCATCAAGGTGAGAAACAGGCACTTGACAGTATAATGTGCAAGGCAAAACCTGTACTGGTCACAGTATACACAGTTACTTCAAGAGGGAAACTAAAAGTTCTCAGCCCATCTTTGAGAGTAAAATACTGAGGGTTGCTGGCAGATCTTTTACCATCACCCAGGCTATCCAGCTGCTCCTGCCTTAGAGGGTTTCCATAAGCTATAAAACGCTGCACACCTCCCCCAGGAACACTACCTCTTTTCTACAATTAACCTCTGCGTACGCACTTGCCCAAGGCGAACGTGGAGTTTCACTAGCAGACTAAGTGATGCAGGATAAACGCTAACCCTTTCTCCTCTATCTTCTTAAAGTGTCTTTTTAAAATACAATTTGCAACGCCAGTTTTAGAAAAGCTTTTGTCAGCTTCAAGATCCTGGTTTCTAGCACAAAACGCTGGTGACCTTTCGTCTAACGTAAAAACAATGTCTTTAGCAGGCTACAAGCAACAACAGGTAAACACCACCACCACCACCACCTTGCTACAGCTTCCCTCCACGCACATCCAGAAAGGAAAGCCCAAGGAACAGCTATGGAGAAACTGCCAACCAAATGGCATCCATGCATCTGGAGAGAGGAGAAAGAGAGAGCCGAAAGGGAACAGAGTGGTGGGAAGAGAAACAAGCTGCAGGCTTAGAAGAAAATCGCACGCATCCCTTTTCATCAGCATAATCTTCTTGTAAAAATAACTTTACAAGATGTCCATTACATATAAAGATGCTTTCTTGTAAAAATGTTGATTTTATCCAAAATGCTAATTTGATTTTCCTATAGTCCTAGCCATATTGCTGAGCAGCCAGCAAGTTTCAGCTCCGTTTCACCAGCTTAACCAGCAGCAGAGAAAGGCCCTGTGCTCACTGGGCAGTGGCTGAGCTTCTCGCACGGTGTTAAGCTAGCACTTACGTGGGTCACAGGAACAAAATGGGAACTAGCTTTAGATCTGACATTGGCCACTCTGCTAATGAGAGACAATATGCTAGAAAGAGGCACTTTTAGTATTCTATATACATTTCAAATCTCTCGTCCAACGCTTTGCCCCCTTTTACCAAAAATGAAAATATCGGTAGCTAAGCTTTATAATAAAAAAGGCTTCAGAAGTCACGTGCATGCACTTGCTTGCAATGGCTCAGGTATCCTCAAAATGCTGGAGTATAATTCCATCACTGCTTATGGAAAAGACAAACATTCACAGAACAAGCATCGGCTTTTGTAAAAATGAGAACATACACCCTTCCATAAGAAGTAACATACCCCTAGATTCAGGAATACAGATCCTGAATACAGAGATGTTTTAGGCTCTCTACTCCGCCGTTTTCCAGATTCTCAATAATTATTTACATTTTAATTTTTGGCATGACATGTCTCTTAAAAACTGAAAATTTTAGCTTAAGTCAAACAACGTTCAGTATAAAAAGCTTTGGAAGACGCGTTTGACCTGACTCTTGGTGCAGTTCCTGTGAGGGAAGGAATTGCTTCTGAGCAGTATTTCCCATTTCGTACACAGCGCAGCACACTGGGGCAGCCGAGCATTCGTGTGCACAAGCTGGAGCATATGCTGAGGCTCCGGAGTCAGAAAACAGTGTACTCAGTATAAGCATTCTTCCTGCAAGCTACAGATCAGTATTCTTATTAAAAAAGGGACAGCATCAAAACTGAAATTTTGAGTGACCCTCAAATCCCGGGGGAGGGGAAAAAAAAAAAAAAAAAAAAAAAAAACAGGACCTCAAGCTAGTGGAAGTTCCTACATAAGGCAGTCAAATTCACAACCAGTGTATACATTCACTAAGGAATTACATTTTTTTTGGTAAAACCAACAATCCAACGTACTGCAGAGTCTGTGAAATATAGGCACAAAATAGATTCTCTACTTTTTCTTTTTTCAGTGTGGAAAACAGATATTTAACAATGTAATAAGAAAATTCACTATCAGGTGAGCAAAAATTTGCAACAATCTGAATAAAACGAAGTACTGTATAAAGGTGCAATATTGAGCAGATTTGATTTTGGTTTAAACACACAAGTAAATATCAAGGAGCCTTTTTCTTACCTATAAAGTACTCCACGTTAGCAGTATCATTCTAGTTCTTCCCAGTTGTCAGTTAAGTTACCTTTGCTCTGCCGTCTAATACTAACCAGCTTCCCAGCTGACTTGATACTCCACCTGGAGCTGTTTCCTGAGCTCGCCAGGTTCGTGTATTTGGTGGAGCCTTTGGTTTCCTCTTCCCAGCCTGACCAGGCTGTATAGTCACTTAAAGTGCCTGCTGCATCACTGGTGGAGTCAGCAGCAGCAATCTGCGGTGGTTCCCAGCCCTCAATCTCATCTGGTTTCCTAGATTGGGCATTCTGTTTTATCACCAAACTGTCCCAAAAACCTGGCTTCTTTTCTGACTTCATCTCTTCCTTTAATTTTAGGTTTGTTCTAGAAAATAACAATGAGGAGGCAATTATTAAAATTTCCTGAATTTCACGGTCCGATAACGCAATTTCTTAATCGAACAGCCTATGCAATAGCAATTAATACATTTGTTTCATTTATTATATTTTATAGTCAGAAACCTTATTTTTTTTTCTCAACAAGAAAGCATCATCTTACATCTGAATGTTATCCACAGCTATGTGCACACATCCACTAATGAAAGAAGTCAGATCATCGCTCTGTGGGAACACCATCAGCTTCAGGAAAAGCTTCTTGTAAACCTGAGCAGAGTAGGGTGTTGCAGGCATAACTGGACATGACCATCTGCTGGTACAGGACGACTCAGCAGCTTTTCTCATTTTTTCCTCCTCTAGTGAATTACACAGAGCTGCCTTTGGAAGTGTACCAAGTACTTTAACATGCATTAGAACAATTTAGGACTTTGAAAAACAACAACAAAAAAAGGCAAAGCCAGGATAACAGAAGGTTTATGGAAGTATTTTGTCTGCCACTAGCTTTAACATTCACTCACTATTTTTGTCAGTTTTTCATACCAGTTATCACCTTGCCAAATTTTAACTTAAACCCTAAAATATTTGATGTACGTTATTACCATTTTATGGATATCATTTTTCCCCTCTTAAAGACAGAGCTGCATGATATTTTGACAACAGTTGTTTTGTTCTTCCGAAGGAAACACACAAAACCCCTCTCCCCTCCAAAATACAAGAAAAAAATCCACCACCATATATACACTAATTTCTCTCAGAGATAACTTTACAGGGTATTCCTGATGTTCTTCCCCCACTAAGAATCTTCAATCTGAACTAATTCATATTTTCAGTGTGCATCATTTATAATACAGAATGTCAACTGTTTATACCCAAGTGTATGTACAGGCCTGTACATGCAACCATCTAACAAGACGCAAGGAAAACTGGAATTTCAGGGTGACAGGCACAGCCTTCAGGGTTCAATGCACTAAACAGCAAGCTCAAAACACTATCTGCTACTAATGTACAAATTACCTTGCCACAAAATAAACTAACTAAACAGGAATTATTGAAATATTTGTTTTTCATTATGGAAAGCGTGAAATAAACAGCTTGACATTACTTTATTTAAATAGGAGTAACCTATACATTTAACAATTTTTTTTCTGTTAACAAATTTCGAATCTAATAGTAGATTTTTCAGAATTTTCAGAGTCACGAAGTCAAGACACTTCCCTTGTATCCTGTGGCTAGAGGACTTAACAAATCTCATTTTTATTTTAACAATAAAATAGAAAATGTGGGATATTTTTATAGAAAAAAATAAAAAACACACTTAAAATTTAAAATATATACAATTTTCATAGTAGTACTAACATGTAATTCAGTTATCATATTGCATGCTTTCTCTTCACAAGTTAAAAGTTATGCAAACAGCATCATCAATGGGTCAGTCTAAACTTAAAGCAGATTCTTTATTCTTACATTTCAGCTTCAATTTCAAAGGCTCCTTAAAGCAAATAAGCGTCCTAACACCTATACAGAGGGACAGACTGCAGCTAGAAGTTCTTTGGAAGTTTTATGAAACAGGCTCAAAATAAAAGGGACATGTATATATTTATATTGCAAATATGTGGCATATATAAACACATTATTCAATGTAAAATGGAAACAAAACATACTATGGCACGTCTCAAAGCCTACATTTCACTTGAACAGGTACACTTACAGGTAGCTCGTTTTTTCCTACTTGCAACAAACGTTAATTATGTTCATGAAAGCTATACGCAGCTGATATAAGTGCAAGACAGACCTCTTCCTAGGATAGATTATCAGAAAATTCAGAAAAATACTCTTAATTGTATCAGTAGATAAACTGTCCCAAGCAAATACTTCAGCTCCAATAGGAAAGATGCTGGTACAGCTACACGGCTTATCCCTTTTGGGTGTAGGTAATCTCAAAAGATAAGCACGTAGAGAAAGTAATTCCTAAAATTGACCGTGATCCTCAGGGATAGAGAGGGAGACTTTGATTCAGAAACCTTTACTTCTTCTCTACAGTTAAAAAAAAAAAAAAAAAAAAAAAAAAAAAAAATGCACGAAAAAAAAACCCTCCTTAACCAAATATTAAAAAAAAAAAAAAATCTTCGATAAGCGTCCTTCATAGTACAGCATATATTATTCATCATTTTAAGCTCAAAACATAAATTTTGAAACGGACATAAACCTTTCTGTACGATTCACCCCTCCACGAGCGAGGCCTGTTGCTGCCCAGGCTGCACCTGCACCCCCTGGCAGGGGTGTTTCCTACCGCGCACCCCGAAGTGTCCTTCATAGTACAGCGTATATTATTCATTTTAAGCTCAAAACATAAATTTGGAAACGGACATAACCCTTTCTGCATGATTCAGCTCCACGAGCGAGGCCTGTTGCGGCCCAGGCTGCACCTGCACCGCCTGGCAGGGGTGTTTCCTACCGCGCACCCCGCTCCACTCACCCTTTGGATTTTGGAGATTTGCATCCCGCGAGCAACTGCTGTTCGTCATCTTTATTGAACATAGACGTCACTTCCTTCCAACCCCGGAAACTTGCCCCCTGAACCTGTACAGAGAATTAAAAATGGTTATAAACATCATCACACATTCAGGGGACTGCGGAGAAGCGCCTGGCAGTACCGAGCGGTTGGCGCTGAGGCGGCAGGGCCCTGGGGACACGGCGGCCCCACAGGCCTGCACAAACCCCAAGGTTGGGAGCACCTTTGGGTTGGCTTCCAGCAGGGGGGATCCTGCTGAGCGAGGCCCGCAGGGCCCTGGGGACGCTCTGCAGGGCCGGGAGGGCGAGTGCCACTGTGGCCTGTCACACGGAAGGGAGAGACGTGAGGAATGTGGGTGGTCTGAGAAGCCACCTGAGGGGGCTGCTGCGTCTCATGAGAGAGAAATTAAATGAGGAAGCTTTACAGAACCATGAAGCTCCCAAGATGTGAACTGCGTTGGGAGCCACACGCGGCTCCCACTTCAGCTCACTGCAACTGCTCCTTGTGCCCCGCTGACACTGGCGTCGCAGCCTGCTCACTCTCCCCTTACTGAGACAGGCGGGCGTACTGCATGAAGCAGACACGCAACACGATGAAAGGTTTGACTACCCTCCCTCCGAGCAAGGGAGCTGCTCTCGTTTAATCTTCTCCCCAGGCCTGGGGACCCGCAGCAGCCCTGTGTGCGCAGTGCAGGGCGGGAAGGCCCCGCTCGCCCCTGCAGCCCTGGCAAGGCCGCGCCGCGATCCTGCCCGTGCTCCTGGATTACACTAAACACAGAGTGACACACTGGGGAAAAACGGGCAGTCAAAACTAAGTTAGAGCTGTCAACACAAGCAAAGGCTAATTCATCACCTCCTGTGCTTCGTTCTTTCTGCAGTGGTACAAAATCAGAATGAATTTGAAGTTTATATTTTAATTGATTGCAGATCATACCTGATATACCCACAAAGCCCTTGAAACATTTGTCTGAAATGACCTACAACTTGAGCACAAACGCCAGCCACGGAGATACCAGAACTACCAACTCCCGGCCTTACAAACACCCCAGCTTCCGAAATTCAGGGAGTGCAATGAATACAGCCGTGTGCTCGTTACCCCCTGCTTTCCATCCGCTGCTCTTCCATTCCGCCGTGTCCCACAGCTCCCTTCCCACCCACCTTCCTCATCTCAGCTGAATGGCCTCAGCTCCCGGGCATAGGAAGGAACCACAACAGGCCCGCTCAGGACTCGGAGCAACCTCTACGCTAGAGCTTTCCCAGCGCTCCAACTCATTTTGTTTTGATGCACACACATGAATCCGGACTTGGGCAAAGCAAATTCGAGCTCTCATTCACAAGGTAGCGACAGGCAAGGTGGGAAAGAGCCAACTTCCCTGCAACTGCTCTGCTCACCTCTATCTAAACCCACTCCTCATCTCACCAGGAATCACAGCAACCCTCAGGCTTTGTAAGGAAAGCATATGGTATTTTTCACTATGAGAATAAAGTGAGCATAGATTATAATAAACCCTCTCGTGTTTAATTTAAGCTTATGATTATATATTACAAAATAAACCAACAACTAACATTGACTTTGTATGCCTGTGGTATATTCACTATACCTATGTCATGAAAGGTAGGTTCTATCAACAGAACCAAAACAAACACAGACAAGCTATGGATAATACCATCAAACAGAAATCTGTCTATATATACACCAAATCTTTGTGTTTAAACTATCAGCCTATATAAGCTGTACTCAATACTTCATGCATCCATGGTATAAATAATGGTCTAATACCTTAACTTTGGCCTTTAAGTGCCTCATCTCATTGCCTTCTTCTGCAGTTCAGATAAAATCTTTAAGTTTACAAGTAACAAGTTTAACAGGAGGATTTTACTACTCTGTCTCGGGTTCCTGTCCCTGCTAAGCAGCTCATGCACCACAGACACTCTCCCAAAAGAATCTCCAAGACATTGGCTCTTGAATATTGAAAAAGGGGAATTTCTTGGAAGTAGAACAGTCTGCTTAAAGAAAAAGAAGAGGGGAAGGGAAGGGGAGGCACAGGCAGGCTCTAGAAAGCACTCAGGTTTTCATATTTTTTTTTAAAAAGTCATCATTCCATTACAGAAAACTGAAAGAAACCTTCATGCAACAGGTATAATCCATAACAACAGAATGATTTGGCAGCGTCTAGCTGGGAAGTAGGGGAAAAAAAGGGGGAAGGGAAAGGAGCCTCCGCCACCACAGCAAATCCACAATTAAAAAGAGCACACAAGCCTCGCTGTCTTAATCCTTTAGGCCTTTAAACTAGAAAAAGACAAAAATATACCTTAGCAATTTAATTTGTGTGTAAGCTTATCTTTCTTCACTAATGACGGTTCATTAAGCCCTTGCCACATAACAAGTCTGCAGATTGAGAACAGAAAGCCCCTCATTGGTTTCAGTGAGCAATACAGACTAGTCTAACTTAAACTACATTGTTTGTAAATAACTTCATAGACAGATGACTGTCTATGAAGTTTTGTTCTTACCTAGCAAAAAAAAAAATCTGCATTTTAACTCTGATATTTAAAAATTTAAGTTCTCTAAATCCCATGCTGATTAACAGATATTAGAAAAGGGCCATTCAATGTCAAGCAGGTAAGTGAGTCCCTATATGAAACACTACAGAAGGCTGACTGTGCATTCTTTCTGCCTGTTTGTAGATTGCTGACTATATGCAAGATCTTGTACAAGATCTTCAGCAAGTACCAGCTCACATTCTCATAAAGTACTTCCACAATGAATCCATAGCAGGCACATAGCAAAATATTAAAAAAATCTGCTAAGGAGTTAGATGATTTATTATTCGTCCAACTGTCCTGAATGAGAACATACATTCAGCCTTTAAGATACTAAGTAAATAAATGGTTGAGGTGTATTTCCAAAAAGAATGATGACAGATTCATGTACGTAAGAGCATGAGTGCTGGAGTAGAATGTATCTTGCTAAAATGCTAATGCTTGCTAATAAAGTCCATTGTGTTGATGCCCCTGGTTGATATTAAGTGAAGTAGGCTGAAAGAAAGAGCAAAACCAGGATCTGCACCTACCACATTCAAGCTCCTGCATCCGATGGTGCCTGCGCTGAGCCCTGACCTCTCCCTTGACCAGTCTGAAAAGGAGAGGACAGCTTGCACTAGAGAGCCTTCTCAGTGGCACCACACTTAAGGGAGTTAAACCTCAGCAAAAGAAGGGGTCAAAAGCTTCCTTCTAGTTCAGGAAGCTTTTCTCTAACCACTGAGCTGTTTTTTAAGTCAACATTCTCCTTTTTGACTATGGCTGTCATGTTGCTCTATCACTGATTGAAGACAAAAACTCAAATCCCCTGAGTCCTCATGCCCCAACCCTTCCAGTTTTCCCTGCTGTATTTATATATTTCTCTTTGATTTTCAATTTTTAACCTAGACACCTACACACGCAGCAGCAGTAGAAGCTGCTGTCCTCATCAAGACAGAAAACATTATGTTGCCACTGTGTAAACTCCTGCAGCTGCCAGCAGTTGAGAACTGTTTGCAGTTTTGGTGCCTGCATCCCCAGAAGCTTGTGGTACAACTGGAGAAGATACAGAGAGAGAAAACTACAATTACCAAGGGGTGGAGCAGGAGCCGTATGAGGAGAGGCTAAAGACTGAGACTCTCTAGTCCAGGAAGGAAGAAGGTCATGACTGAGGTTTACAGAAGTCACAAAGGCAGCAGATGAACCGAATGTGGTTCACCAAATGCCATAGCAAGAGGACTAGGATGCACCCGAAGAAACTAAAGAGAAGATTTGTTTAAAACAGGCAGCAGTAAGTGCTTATTTAAACACCACATGAAATTCTGTAACTGCCTTCCTGGGGAAAAAAAAAAAAAAAGTAAACTACTGGCAGATTCAGACCAGGACTAGCCAAATTCACAATAAGCAGCTTCATAAAGATGCCCTCTACTTAGAGGGTATCCTGTAATATCCCAAAACAGTAACTCTTGATGTTGGAAGAACAGGGTAAAGAAAGAGGCCAAGGTACATTCTCCTAAAAAGCATCTCTTATTGCAAAGATCTAAGGCAGAATATGAGGTTGGATGGACCTGTATCTGATTCAGTAGGGAATTTCCTATGCTGTTGCAGAGATGTGGAAAAAAAAGCTCAGACTCCAGACTCAGACTTAGCTTCCTTGCAATGGATGTCAAATGAAGGTGAGTAGCTAAAGAAGAATACATATTTGGGTTAGCTGACTCCTCTCTGCATAGGAAAATTATTCATATAAAGAGACTAAAATTATTCCAAACATGAAAATATTGATAAAATCTCTGAGCATCAAAGTACTTGTAGAAATTTCACATTTCATTTTTAAGATTTAACTGGCTGCACAAAACTGAAGAGGACTACATCTAAAAGCTTTCAAAGAGAGATCTACATACACAGAACCACAGAACAGTTGAGTGGCTGGGCTCTTCTTGGTGGTGGCCAGTGATACGACAAGGGGTAATGGGTACAAGCTGAAACACAAGAAGTTTCACCTCCACGCAAGGAAGAACTTCTTTCCTGTGAGGGTGACAGAGCCCTGGAAGAGGCTGCCCAGAGAGGTTGTGCAGTCTCTTTCTCTGAGATCTTCCAAACCTGCCTGGAAGCCACCCTGTGCCACGTGCTCTGGGTGTCCCTGCAGGGGGTTTGGGCTAGGTGATCTCTAGAGGTCCCCTCCAACCTCAACCATTCTGTGATTGTGACCCTCCAGAAACAGTTTTTGAGCAGGGAGCTGCACTGGATGATCAGCTACAGCAGAGAGCGCAGTCCATATCCAGGCAGGTTTTAAGTACCCCCGAGGGATGAAGAGTCCATAACCTCTCTGGGCAACCTGCTCCACTGCCCAGACAGCCTCATGGCAAAGAAGTGTTTTCTCATGGTCTCCAGTTCATGGCTGCCACCTCCCATCCTATCACTGGGCAGCCCTCAGAAGAATCTGGCTGTCTTCTTTATCTCCTCAATTGAAAGATCGGTAAGATCCCCCTTGAAACCTCTCCTCTCCAAGCTGGGCAGTCTTACCAGTAAAGATAAGGCAAAGGTGGCATTCGGGACCATTCCTGAGCTTGGAGGCGATCCATGGAGAAAAACCAAACACCTGATTGGCATCACTAGAACACATCCAGCTTTTACACAGAGAGCTGCCCACAGCAACTGAAAATGAGAGAGAGGACTAGAATTCTAGCACCAGACGTTAGAAAGTCCAAACCTCAAGGGATCTTTATTGGATACTGCAGCCTACAATTTATCAACATGAAAATGAGAATAAAGCAGAACCACCAAGATGCCGCTTTAATACGATACTGGATAAGATTATGGACACCTATCTGGTTCCATACTTGATCTGACTATGACAGCATACACTATCCCTATCAAAACAGCCACCTTTCTCCCCCACCTTCCACTTCAGCTGTTTAGAAAGCTGTGCAGCAGAGTGTCCTGTGCAATCACCTAAAAGAATCAGTGGAAGAAAATATATACATATAGAAATAAATGAATCAACCAACTGGCAGATTAATGACAAAAAAAAGTCCTGTCCTAATAGGCATCCAAAGATCTCAAGCCTCGAGCACAGATTCCAGTTCAGTAGATTAAATTCCCATTTATAAACTACTCTATTCCCATTTAGGAAGCACCCTATTCCTCCTCCACCATGAAAAATGTTTTTTAAAAAGCTGCCATTTAATTAGTATACCATATAAAAGGGGCAGTACAAGTAGTCACGCATCATGTAAAGGATGCAGTCTGCCTCTCCCTAGTACAACTGCCTGCTGTTTGTCCCCCTCAGTTCCAAACCCTCTGCTTTGATGATGCTTCCAGGCTCAGGGTCCATCTGTCAGACTGATTCCTGAGGATGAGTTTCTCAAGAAGGCAGATCGGGTCCATCAGACACCCCTGCTGAAGTGGGTGGTCCCAGTCCTCACATTTACACTGCCTTCCTTGCACCATGCTCTTTTATCTGTGGGGATAAGTTAATTACAGGATGTCAGAACTGGACAACCACCACGGGCTGTGGAAGTCAGAGGCAACATCATCTTTCCTGTGGCAGCAACTGTTTAACAACTCAAGCACCCTGTGAAGCTTGCAGTTATCTAACCCCTTTCTCCTGTACATCCAGTGCAAATCACCTCATCTCCTGAGCCTCACTCTGTAAACTCAGTCCTCAATGTAAGAATTTTTTGCTCTGTTGCTTATACTGATTCAAGAGAATCAAATGCACAGAAACTGCATAAAAACTGTACACAAAGTGCCCCAAAGAGGGACAGCCCCTCTTTGGTCTGGAAGCCTCTCCTAGCTTTAGAAGCACTACTTAAAATGACTGACTTGTGTACCAGATTTCTCCACACCAATGCATTCTGACAATTCCCGTAATTCTGAGCTTCCCATACTAGGCAGGCACCTTAGGCAATGAATAATGAAGGAACAACCGAGCAGCCTACTAAGAAACAACAAAGCATCACTGAGAGGGCTCTTCACTTAACTTCACTGCTGAAGGCACATAACTCACCACGAGAGCTCTACCAGAGGGCAAGAAGATTCATGAGAAATTAGAAGCCACACTAGAAAACATAGCAAAAGAGTGACCATCTGGGGATTCCAGCAGTTGGTTATAATCTAAAACAGTAAATTCCTTCTAAAAAGCAAACTGAAAACTTATGCCACGAAACACATATATATTCAGAAGAACATATACTAAAGAGAAAGACTATTTGTAAATTTAATTGATGACGCGGATGTGGTAATATATGCTAACATATATGTGGTAATATATGCTAACACCTTATCAAGAAACAGCATAAAATTCCATCTATTCAAAGAATAACATGGAGAAATTGGGCACAGTATATTAGATATACATGATAAACAGTTAAAAGTTTCAAAGTAGAAGATCACAGTGCACTGGAATATTACTTTACATAAAATGGCACTGCTTTGTGAATGATGGTACTGCCTTATGAACAGATACTGGTAGCTGGATGCACATTCTCGGTACAATTTTCTGCTCCCTGCCTGCCTGACCAGCAGGGCCTTGGAGCACAGAAGTGGCTCCCTGTGGGCGATGACAAGCCACACGGCAACAGTCCTTAGGACCCAAAGCAGCAATTACAGGGGATTCTTGCTCCATACCTGCAAGGAGAATTGGCATGTTTAGTGCCACCGTGTAGCTAAGCAGCTAATCCCTAAAAGAAAAAAAAAAAAAAGAACTCTGCTCAGCATGTACGAAATGAGAATTCCAGAAATTTATACTTTGGCCAAGTTTTAGCAGAATGCTGCAAGTATTTTCACATCATAAGTTTGACAGTTGGTAGATCAAATCCCTTCAAACTAGAGGTATTCCAGAACACTTGTTGTTGTTGTTTAATGGTAAACAAAAAGAACGGATTTTCCTCTCAGCCTTGACTGAGAAGAAACAATTGCTTGTGCTGCAGCTTCCGTTCCTCCTCCCCCAGCAAAATGAGCCCCCCCTCAAAAAAAGCTGGGGATGGAATTTTCCATATAAGTAGTTTACAGTTCAGTGAAGTCACAGCTAAGTGTTTTATAACAAAAAAAAAATCAATCAGCTTTAATTCCAGAAGTGCTGTTACCGCCTCACAGGAAAGCTATTCATAACATGCAACAACTGAAGTAAAAGAAAATGAAGAAACAACCCCCTCCCCTTCAGATTTGCTCCAGGTATCACAGCATTTGGCAGGAGAAGGTTCAGAACTCCCCCAGTTTCTGATGTGCAAACCAAGAGCTACTCCATCCTGCATTTCCGAGGAGCAGAAACTCCAGAATTTGGCCCTACAAGAATGTCCTAACATTTCCCATCCCATTTTATTAACATATTGTTTTTTTTTCCCTCCATCAGAGGGAAACTACTCTCTTTCCAGAAGTAGGCACAGTACCTGCGGCAGACGATGCCTTCACTATGGTTTTCGTTCAGAATTTCTGCACTTTGGTAACACACCTGAGATCAGCCAAGGCCCAACGTGCAGCATGGCCTCATCCTGCATTTCTCCCTTTCCCAGGCTATCGCTGGAGGGTTCGCAGCTGCTCCCTGTGCAACGCCACGAGGCCGCTGGTTCAGGGCTTCACCCGCCTCCCAGGGGAACCTGGACAACAGCAGCTTCCCGCGCGAGCGTGAGCGTCTTTTCCCAGCCTCCGTCACCAAGGCTGGCACGTGCTGCACCTCCGAGCCCAGCTCAAAGGCTTTCCACTGAGAACAGAGCCCAAGACCCAGCTTAAAGATGCAACGAAGGGTGTCTCCCCTGAGCAGCAGAGGCACCCACGCATTTCCTTTTTCTTTGCAGGCCTTTCTTGACTTCTCCTTTATACTTCACTGCTGAGAACGATATATTCACCAGAGACCCACACTGGAAAGGCCACGTGCACATTCACCAGCCCGTTACGAGTTATTCAGTATTTCAGAACTGCCGCAACATCACTCTGCTCGCAGCTCTAAGACGAGACATCAGGAAAAACAAAGTGCTCTCATCACCGACAAGAAACTATCAAAAGATGAGAAAATAAGGAGCTTTCCTGTGAATCCATTTTTAATGTAAGGAGGGTTTATTTTGCAACACACAAATAATGCAGCTCAGTGGATTGCCTGATGACTTCTTTTTTCTTAAAAAAAATCAAATTAACAAATCTTCCTGAATGACTAAGAAATGAACTAAAAAATTTGATATAAAACTAACAAAAAATCCTAAAATTGGCTTAACACTCATCACCTGACATAAAACAACCAGTAGTTTATGTTTTCATAAAAATGAATCTGTTTTTTTCTAAAAAGCAGAAAATACATAGTACACTCGGACTTGTATTTTCAGGGAAAATTATGCTGCATCTGAAGTAGAACAAAACAGTAGCAGAGGCAGATGTTCAGTTTATGCATATTAATGTCAAGTATCCTATTACACTAATGAAACAATTTTAAATGTTTTCCCCATACCTATGGAATTTCAAAGCAAGCTCTAGCATACAACAAAAACTTCCCGTTCTTTCATCTTCTACTAATGTATTTTAAGAACATTAAAAAAAAATTCTTGGACCCATATCAAGGTAAAGAATTCTCCCTTGTACACGTACTTTTCTTTTTGGAAAGAGATACAAAATGAAGTTCTTGTGGTCAGAAAGCCCACTGAGTTGCATATAAAATATGCAATAAATAATAAATCCTTTTGCTTTTCATACCTTTCATTGCCTATTTTATCTTTAGACAGAATTTCAGTTACTCCTTCTCATTTCCTTTAATTATCACAAAAAAAAAGGAATTCAGCTATGTTACTGAACTATTTGTTGCTAACATCTTACTTCAAGGAGAACCAACCACTGACAGTATGAAGAAGAATCGTAAGTAATTTAAAAATCTCACATGAAGTGCATAAATAAGCCTCAATTCAAGCTATACATGAAAAGTTCTTAACTGACATTGAAATATATACGATACAAAATAAGTTACAGTTCCAAGGAACAGATATTTACCTTTGTTGCAAGTTGTGACACTGAAGAAGAAACTTCATCATGGAGAAACTGGTCTTTATTCTCAAAAAAAAAAAGGATAAAAAGGCACCACAGTCAGTTTCCATTTGACAATAAACAGCGACATTTTTCAGTGTATTCATAATGCTTTAATTTTATTCAGCCTATCAGAATATGCCAAAAATGCCCATCAGAATTGTCAAATATGATCATAATGCAAAACTAACTAAACATCATCAATAACAAAATATATTTAGAATCATAAAAATGCTTCATCAAAAGTAATAAAATCTGTGCAAAATCAAGCTTTCTTTTGGAATCCCCTGTATTCACCCTCAGTCATTTTCTATGTTTATGACAGTTACCATTTCCAAAGTCAAATTTACCAACTTTCCACCATCAACAACCCCAACTAAAATAACGGCTAAGAAGTCAATATGCTCCTTGCTTAGAAAGCTCTTTTTTTTCCAAGTAGTTCTATATAAACTAGACCACATCTCCACATATGCATACACTCACACACACAGAGTATACTGCAGCCCAACGTTTCCAAAGATCTCAGCTCTTGCTGATGCTGTTAGCAAGGCCGATGAGGGCGCGTGCATGAAAATCTACATTGTTTGAGTGCTACAGGTAGGTCTTTAGACAATTCTTAAGAACAGGGGGCCCAATTCCATCATCATTACCTTTGAGAAACCAGCTTCAGAGCCCTTTTTTGTTGCTGTTATATTAATTTCAATTTGCCCATTGATATTTTCCTTTATAGGCAATACTGCTTATTATATTCATGGACAAGGATGGAATTAGGAGCATTCCAAAAACCACTGAGGACCATCAGACCACAGTTCAGTTATAACTGTATTTAGAAAATACTTTGGGATTACTCTTTGGGACCGAATACAAAGTCAGGAACTCTTATATCAGTCAAAATGAGAATATTACTTCCTGTGAATCTTAACAAGTCACTTACAAGATTTTGCTGAGCTGCCTTTAAAATAGGAGAATAGTATTGTAGGTGGCATACCAAGAATGACAAAATATAGATTTGCACAAGATTAACATGAAATTCAGTTTGTTTTTTCTAAATGAGAATCGCTAGCAATGTTTTAAGCAGACCACCCCCCCAACACACACACACACACACATATATACAATTACAGATATACACAGTTTTCTGTTTTTCCCTCAACATTACCAGCTGTCGCATTTTTGGAGGAGGCTACAAAGCCCCAGCTTGGCAATAACTCTGCTTGGACATGGCACAGCAGCTACAGAACACTTCATCTAATCCCTCAAAAGTTTTACCAAAGAGAGAAGAAAAAAATTTAGGAGTTGTAAAAGCCCCAAGGGGAAGCATGAGCAAGACTGTGAGTTATGATCACAGACATTCGGAGCTGTCAGAGCTGCAGGTTTTGGCCACCAGGATCATCAATCCAGAAGAAAAAAGGCAAAAGGCACTAGTGCCTACCCCTTCATTTTACATTTCTCAGTTTCAGAGTATCTTAGGAAGGGAAGTAAAACCATGGAAATGCATAAACGAAGTTCCTGCTCTACTATGAAAAAACCGACATGTGAGGGCAGGCAGCTCTAGCAAGGCAGAGGGCGAGCACCACAAAGCACGAGGCCACTTTCATCCTGCAAGCGGCTGCGGGAAAAGACGGGAGCTGCAGCGAGCACCGCCAGTGGACATGGATACACTTCGTGGGCATAATAAAACATGGAAGCTGTCTTTGATGAAAGATGCAATTTAGAATAAATGGTAGGCAAAGGTTAATTATTTTTTCTTAATGTGTGACAACTGCGTTTTTTGTTAATATATCCATATCCAGTGCTACATACTATGCAAACGAAGGGAGGAAGGAGCTGACAGTACCACTATTCTCACACACTGAAGGGCTGGCAGCAATACAAATTTGAAAGATATGAAATATAAAGATTAAAGGATATGAAACCCTCAGGAAAATATCTGGTGAGAAGCAATTACTTAAAATATGTATTTTTTCCAGAGTGGAACACTTAGCAATATCAAGAGGCCAAGGAGAGATCTATAAAGGAAGTTACATTCATTTTAAGATTTGTTCCTTAAGATAAGGAGAGCTGGACGGTTCTGTTGCATTTCTGATGCCCATCCACGTCCTACAGGCTAGCATTAATTCTTGATCAAAGTCGGCCAGCAGACTTCAATTTAGCAGTCTCAAAGATTTCTAAACATTTTGAGGGAAAAAAAAAGAAAAAAAAAAAAACAACACCTACAGCTAGGAGAAGCAGCAAGAACCAAATTAATGTCCCACAGCAACAGAGAAAAAGTGGGGTAGAGGCACAGGCTGCCCCTGCACACGCTGACCCTCGCACAGCCCACGGGGAAGAACCTCCAGGCATGTGGGGCAGGGATTAACAGAGATCAGAGGTGGGAAGACCTAAAGAGAAAATGCATGAATCACACACAGCTTCTGATATGTATTCACTGCTTGTGTTGGTGTTCAGAGCTTGGGCATCTGGCAATTCGTTTTTCAATTTCTGTGCGGGGGAATCTACTGGAGAGATATTTACAAGAAGTCAAGAGGCCCCTGCTTTACCACGTCACATAGCTAACGCTGGCACTCTCACCAATTCTCAGTTATTTCACTGTATTTTTAGTCTAGCTAGCTTGCAGTTATGACAACTCATTTTTAGAAAAATTTGGACCACGTTCTCGTAGTATCTAGTAACCAAGTAGATGACTAAATGCAAACACCAGTGGGAAATGCTGATCAACAACTTGAATAGGCTTCCAGCTCTGCCAAGGGAATGTTGGTATGCACAGCGTGTTTTCCTAAGGAAACAAGTGCCCTTTTGTTGGACATACTGCAAACCATAAGGTACTCAAGGGATTAATTCAACTAGCACACAAACCTTTTTGTACAGAGATCAAAATTGTAATCTACTTCCCTCAGCTTCCTTTGTGGTAAAGTAATTAATTAGTCTCTTTAGATCATTCACTTTAATAATTCAGTCCAAGAGGAGAAGCACTGGACTTCAAAGGGTTAAGGCAAATAATAGCATCGTCTCACCCCGCGTGCCCTTCTTTTGCTCTAGTACATAAAATGGTTTATTATTGATTTTCTGCAGGCAGTTGTGGAACCTATACTAGACGTCAGAGCTGAAAGCACGTACACTAAACAAGTTATTATTTTAAGAGTAGATCCTCTCACTGTAAATTATCACTCTTCTACTGCCCTATTAAATCCCCTCTGCCTATTGCCATGGCTCATTGAGGAGTAAGCATAACTTAGAGTCTGTTATCATGACTGTTAGTGCCCATGAGATTATGACCTACAGATGAACACCTTAAGCGAATGCAAAGCAAAACACAGACGCACACTGCAGGGGAGAGTTTGCAACAAACACCCCAAGTAATTTAGTGATGGGAGATGCAGGAGAGCGGGGAGAGAGTACGTGGGGAATCACAAACCTGGACGTTAACCTCTGGAGCTGGAAAGACTCCCAAAGCACTGATTAGAAACTGAAGAGTAGAACAGCTGTATGCATCCAGGCTGAGCAGGGGCAGCACAGAGCACACTGCCGGTTCACTGGCCTAAACCACAGCTAGCAAAAATGCACAGCTCCCTTGAGCTGGGGGAGGATTTGGGTCTAACTTTATATGAAATAGATGGGACTAAAGCAGATTGTGCATGCAAAAGTCACTGTTTCTTTAGTTTTGTAGCTGAAACAGAAGCAGCAGACAACGCAAAGTATACTTAAACCAAGGTGAGAGGGAAGTTATCAGAGAAATTCAGTAGTGTCAGGCCACATTTTGTTTGTCCTTTTGGAAAAAAATAGCATGTGGACATACACTTTCAAAGTCATGCAATTGAAACAACCTCCAAAATAGTGATCAAATGTAAATGGACAAATAGCTATATTATTTTAACATACCCTTAACACATCTGAAAAATAAGACTCAACAGAAGAAAAAAGACACCAAAGATGGCATTTTTAACAAACTAGGGAGGTATTACACAGCCATACCCGGGGGACTGTCTCTGGGACACCAGGCTGTGCTCTGCAGACACTGACTCCCAAGCCTAACTGTGAATTTCCTCTGCTCCTCTCTGGCTCGCTGGTAATACAGATTAAGATCATGTCATTAATCTTGTCCTTATTTCATCTACTGCTAGACCTCCAATTTCTACCTGCATGTTCTTAAAGTAAGCAAATGACCCAAACTAGTCATGTGGGCAGATGATGAAATTTTCTCATTAATATCACAATGAAAATATTAAATTAGCCATTTCTAAGGTCTGTTCATGCTCAAGGATAATTTGGTATTTTAATTGTGTTTTTTCTTCATATACAAAAGAGACTTTTGCACTCCAAATTTCTCCCTAAATTTGGAAAGCACCTACACTAAAACAATCCCCCATATAAAACACCCCTGTGACCTCTGTGCTGCACATCTGCTAGGCAACTCTGGCAAAATTGAGAGTACATTTTCTTTTCTCTTTGTGCACAAAACAAACATCAGGTACATTAAATAAGTCCAATTCCATCGCTGTACATCTTTGCTAGACAACACTAATCTCTAAACAGGGTTTTTTCAAGAGTCCAGGTGACTATTTCAGATGCAGCAGACAACTGACCCCGTAACATTAAAAATGTTTCTGCCTTCTAGGTCCCAGTCCTTTATAACTACCTTTTATTCACCAGATTGACTTGAAGATAAAATGTAATTTTCCTATCTTTTCATCTTTTAAATTATCGAAACTGAATAAATTAAAATCAAGAAGAAACACTTTCCTCCTACAAAAGATCCCACAGCTGTCAAAAGCTTGTTTAGCATTTTCATAAACTTTCATAGAAAGTTTTAACTGCTGATTCTTACAGCTATTGCTTAGCACTCCTTGCCTTTTCAAGTAAAATAATCTACACTATTCACATATTTTTAGTGTGAATAGATGGTAAGGCCCCAAATTTACTGCAGAAGATTTATTTCAGACTATAAGCACATATGTAAGAGTACTTTTGTATTTATCACATTTATTAACGTTACAAAATAACAGAGTATCGTATTCCTATGCTGTAAGCTTTTACATCAATACAGGAGG